TGAAGATTATGCAAATACCCCTATGTGATAGGTGGAAAATAAATAGAAAATAAAACTGTCGAAGTCAAACAAGTAACAACTCCAATTAAGAGACACTTTATAGCAAGGAAAAATAGATCACCAGGTAATGGTTTCGTTCCAGGGGTGATCTATTTCCCAGTTAATGTCAGTTTTTCTCTGTATATAAGTCAGCCCCTTTCTACTTCAACAATGGGATTAACTGGAGGAAAATACATCATTCCTCTTATGATGCAGCTCCAAGTCGAAAACTGACTAGGCCCCTGATGAAACAAAATGCCCAGAGGTTGGAGGTTCAGAATGGTCTGTGGGTCAGTGAAGTGAAAGACACTGACTTTTATCTTTCTTCCCTACCATCCTGCTGACTTGTTACCTCATGTGGCTTCAGACATCCTGTCCCAGTTAGAGGAAGGAAAATCCAGGGAAAGGCAGTCTCAGCTCACTGCAGCCTCGACCTCCTGGGCTCAACCCATCCTCCCACCTCAGCCTCCAGAGTAGCTGGGACTAGTGGCTCGTGCCACCATGCCTGGCTGATTTTTGTATTCCTTTGTAGAGATGGGGTTTTGCATGTTGCCCAGGCTGGTCTCGAACTACTGAGCCCAAGGAATCCACCAACCTCGACCTCCCAAAGTGCTGGGGGATTTCAGGGGTGAGCCACTGTTCCTGGCCAGCTCTTTCATCAGGTGATTTTATTTTCGTTCATTTCCCTTCAGTTCTTGACGCTCCCATTTCCACCATCCCAAACTGCCGACTGGCTCTTCTAAACAAAAACCAAAAAACCAGGGTCTGGCTCTGTCCCCCAGTGTCCCCTAGACTGGAGTACAGGGGCTTGATCTCAGCTCACTGCAGCCTCGACATCCCAGGCTCAAGCTAGCCACCCACCTCAGCCCCCCAGAGTGCTTAAAGGTATCAGCCACCACACCTAGCCTGGTCCCATTTTCAAGAACCATTGGTGATATCACCAACTCCTGGTTTTTCACAAACAGATGGACAAAATTATTTCTGTGTCTAAGAAGGAATGTGTAGAAAAGGTACAAAAGTCCTCAGCTAACTCCAGCACACTTTCTTTAATATAATAAATTACTTAATTTACTAAAATATATCCACTTGGCTAATGGAATTTCATCGGGGTTTGAGGCTTTTCCCAATTTGTTTAAATTGTCTCAATCATGAATGACTTTCCAAATTAAAAATTAAATGAACTTTCAAAGAATAAAATAAATGTACTTAAATAAAATAAAATTCCTTAGAAAGAAATTCAGGAGTCTTCATATGCAGCTTGGACTAAGAGTCTCCAAGTTCCATGCCTCACCCAGTAGCAACATCACTCAGAGCAACAGGAGTCTCTTTAAAAACTTCACAGTAAATTAAGTACAATTAACAGAGCAAACATCAGCACTACCAGCCCAGGAAAGAAGTAATCACTCAGCCTTCATTCTCAGCACCCATTAAGACTTGAGCCATTTCTCAAATCAGTGATCTTTTTAAGTGATCATCATCATGAACGCCCTCCTAAATGAGGGCCTCCTCATTACGGGGCACATAATGACAGTAAACTTCAGCCTTTGCTAAGAAGTGGAGGTAATAAAGCTTTCCAAGAAGCGACAGCTTATATTTTTGATCCAAACCATAAAAATAGCTAAGTGCTTTCTAATGCTTTGATAAACTAGGCTTTTTTAAACGTTTCTTTAAGAAGCATTTCCTTGAATGAGGGAATATAAAGGGCTGGAAGGGACCTTTGAAAGCATATAGCTCTGCTCCCTCATTTAACAAATGAGAACACCAAGGCCCAGACATGTCAGATGATTTGCAGAATGTCTTATACCATTAGTCAGTTGTAGAATCAGCTTAACATGTAGCAAATGCAGTCATCCCTGGGTATCCATAGGGGGTATTGCTTCCAGGATCCCCCCCACCCCCAAGGTTACCAAATTCCAAGGATGCTCAAGTCTCTTATATAAAATGGCATATGATTTGCATATTTGCACACCCTCCTGCGTACAGTCGTGTACCACATAATGACTTTTGTTTTGTTTTGTTTTGTTGTTTTTGAGACAGAGTCTCGCTCTGTCACCCAGGGTTGAGTGCAATGGCACAATATCCACTCACTGCAGCCTCTGCCTCCCGGGTTCAAGCAATTCTCCTACCTCAGCCTCCCAAGTAGCTAGGTTTACAGGCATGTGCCACCACACCTAGCTAATTTTTTTGTATTTTTAGTAGAGATGGGGTTTCACCATATTGGCCAGGCTGGTCTCAAACTACTGACCTTGTGATCCTCCCACCTCAGCCTCCCAAAGTGCTGGGATTACAGGTGTGAGCCACCACGCCTGGCCCGCATAATGATGTTTTGGTCCACAGCAGACTGCATCAACCACAGTAGCCCTAGAAGATTATAATGGAGCTGGAGCATTCCTATTGCCTAGTGATATCTTAGCCGTCATAACCTGGGCCTGACCTGGTGGCCCAGCGCATGCCTTACGTGTTTGTGGTGATGCTGGAGTACGCGAACCCACTGTGCTGCCAGTCACAGAAAGGTGGAGCACATGCAATTATGTAATAGCTCATGATGCTTGATGATAATAATAAATGACTGTGCTACTGGTTTATGCATTTATTATACTATACTTTTTATCATCATCTTAGAGTGCATTCCTTCTACTTATAAAAAAAGAAAAAAAAAGTTGGCTGGGTGCAGTGGCTCATGCCTGTAATCCCAGCACTTTGGGAGGCCGAGGCGGGCAGATCACCTGAGGTCAGGAGTTTGAGACCAGCCTGGCCATCATAGTGAAATCCCATCTCTACTAAAAAACAAAAATGAGCTGGGCATGGTGGCGCACACCTGCAGTCCCAGCTACTCAGGAGGCTGAGGCAGGAAAATCGCTTGAACCCAGAAGGCAGAGGTTGCAGTGAGCTGAGATGGCACTGCACTCCAGTCTGGGCGACAGAGTGAGACTTCGTCTCAGGAAAAAGAAAAGAAAAACCACAGGCCATCCAGCTAACTTTGAATTTCAGCTGAACAGTGAATAGCTTTTTAGTGCTAGTGTGTTCCATGCAATACTTGGGACATACTGACACTAAAATGAATGTATGATTTTTAACTGAAATTCAAGTTCAACTGAGTATCCTGTACATGATCTGGCAAATTTAACTAACGCCTTTATGAAGATGAAAAAAGAAGTGTTGAGAACTGCTGAACTATGATATTATATCAGTTTTCTAGGGCTGCCATACAAAGAACCACACGTAGGGCCACTTAAATGATAGAAATGTATCATCTCACAGTTCTGGAGGCTGGAAGTCAGAGGCAGTCCTGTTCCTTCTGAGAGAGCATCTGTTCCATGCCTCTGCTGAGCTTCTGGTGACTGCTGCCGATCATTGGCACTTGTTGGCTTGTAGCCACATCACCCCAACCTCTACCTTCCTATTCATGGGCATCTTCTCTGTGCGAATGTTTATGTGTCCAAATTTCTCCTTTTTATAGGGACACCAGTCATACTGGATCAGGGCTCACCCAGTGACCTCATTTTAACCAATTACGTCTTTAATGATCCTATCTGCACACAACATTCAATTTTTAATTGCTGGGAGTTAAGACTTCAATATACAAATTGTGGGGAAAGACAAAATTCAACCTACAACAAATTCCTTTTCCTTGTTTGAGACAGAGTCTCCCTCTGTCGTCCAGGCTGAAGTGCAGTGGCTTGATCTTGGCTCACTCTAACCTCTGCCTCCCAGGTTCAAGTAAGTCTCCTGCCTCAGCCTCCCCAGTAGCTGAGATTACAGGTACCCGCCACCACACTCGACTGATTTTTGAATTTTTAATAGGGACGAGGTTTCACCATATTGGTCAGGCTGGTCTCAAACTCCTGACATCAAGTGATTCACCCACCTCAACCTCCCCAAAGTGCTGGGATTACAGGTGTCAGCCACCACATCCAGCAAACAAATTACCTTTATTGACAAAAACTGCAGTTACTTTTGCACCAGCCTAAATAGCAGTGAGAACTAGACATGGCTCATAACATACTCTTGAGTACAGTGGTCCAGTTCTGGGGTTCTGATAACCATCACTGTTTCCCCATCACTCAGGCACATGTAATAACTCTGCATCTGTTTTGATGAAAAATATTTCAAAACGAAGCTGGTTTGACATCTTTGGTCTTTTGCTGTTTTCCAGGATTGTTCTTGGACACTGTTCTCAGACACTCGGCTTAGGGTCAAGACTTGATTTCTATGGAGAAGTTCGATTCCCTCCAATACACTGGCTGCCGGCCCTCCTCACTAAGAAAGATGACTCTGGATCTGCAGCCTCCTTCCTTCTGATCTGTCGTCCTATATCTGTGTCCACTTGAGTGGCCTTGTTCTCTCTGGCACCATCAGTTCCATGAGGAGCATTGGAAATGTGAGAAGCAGGTAAAAGCCCCTCTGTTAAAAAGACTTGCTTCCTACTTAAAATTTGAGCTGAAAGTGGACCACAGAATCGGTTAGTTGTAATTATTCTTTAATTACTTTATGCCCCAAATTCTGAGGGCTCTATATGAGGCCAGAGATAGCTAATGATTGCTCGGTGATCTTACAGATAGTTGCAGAACTAGCTTAATATATAGGAATTCTAGTCAGAAATAAATCTCTTTGAAACAAAAGTCTGAAGGCATTTCTACTCACAGAATGAGACTCTAAGTTAAATGCTCTTTTCTCTCCACCATGCACCTCCTACTATTTTCTAAATAGTCAAAAAGATGCAGGACTGGGCAGGCACTTTGGTTCACACTTGTAATACAAGCATTTTGGGAGGCCGAGTCCAGAGGATCACTTAAGGCCAGGAATTCAAGACCAGCCTGGACAACATAGCAAGACTCCATCTTTACAATTTTTTTTTAATGAGCTGGGAGTGGTAGCACATGCCTGTAGTCCCAGCTACTCGGGAGGCCGAAGCAGGAGAATCCTTGACCCCAGGAGTTTGAGACTGCGGTGAGCTATGACTTGACTCAAACCCAATGAAGCTGGTTTCTCTCATCAGTAAGACTTTGGACAGTGACTTGCATATGTTCAATGGAGTTGTAACATTTGCTTCAAATATTGCACCAAGAACTATAGATGCCACTCACTAGAATATTCAGACAATCTGGCGTTATACAAAAATGATTAGGGCTGGGTATGGTGGCTCATGCCTGTAATCACAGCACTTTGGGAGGCCAAGGTGGCAAGATCACTTGAGTCCAGGAATTCGAGACTAGGCTCGGTGACATAGTGACACCCCCATCTCCACAAAAGGTTAAAAGGCCTGATGGTGTGTACCTATAGTCACAACTACCTGGGAGGCTGAGACAGGAGAATCACTTGAGCCCAAGAGATAGAGGCTGCAGTGAACCGTGATCATGCCACTGTACTCCAGCCTGGGTGACAGAGTGAGACCTTGTCTCAAAATTATAATATTAATAATAATGCCACCCCAACTACAAAATTGATGGGATTCTGTAGTTCAGAGGCTGTATATTAAGATATCAGAAATTCATCCATGGGAATGCTCAGTTCACTTTTCAAATAAACACTGATTTCTGCAACTTGCTGTTTAATCAAATGTTCAGCCTAATCAGCATGCATTTTATCTATATGAAAGAGTACAATCAACAGTGACCACAAAATGTACTCTCCATGCCTTTCCTAAGTCTAGATAAGCTTTTACATTCTAGACTATGGTATGTCTGTCACATACGTATGGCAGATCCCACTTACAACTCTAGCCCAAGAATCTATTTTTGTATTGTCCTTCAACTAGGGATAGCGTTTCTCATTCTACCTCAAATTGTGCCTTATTTATCTAAAATCCTAGCTGAAGTTTCATTGGGTGAGGGGTATTGTAATTAATATCACTCAAGAAAAAATCCAGAAATGGTCATTTACTGTCACCAACCCAGGTGTTAACTTTTGGTCTTCTGTCCTAGTGCAGAGATTGCCTTTAAAATCAGAGCCAGGGGAATTTCAGACAATTGTGCTAAATCAGCCCAATTAATGAGATAGTGTTCTGAAATGCACCTCGCAGAATGAAACTTGAAATCGTATTTGTTTCTCCTCCTGTCAAACCCTAATTTTGTTCTCTGAAACAGACGTTTTTTGAAGAAGTTGTGTTTTTCTGCTCTAGTTTTGCATAGACCTTTGGCTGAAAGCAGTCACGCTGTTACTTAACCTGTCCTGCTGGAATTCTTGAGGTTGTAAAGGCTTTTCAATAGGTTATAATCTTCGAAGTTATGGCATAAATTTGCATTCTATTCAAGTAGAAAATGAAAAAACCAACACTGTTAGAAAAAGAATAAAATGCATTCCTCTGATTTTTTTTTTTAAGACAGAGTCTCACTCTGTTGCCAGGCTGGAGTACAGTGGCACGATCTCGGCTCACTGCAACCTCCCTACCAGGTTCAAACAATTCTCCTGTCTCAGCCTCCTGAGTAGATGGGACTACAGGCACACAGCAGCACATCCAGTTAATTTTTTTATTTTTAGTAGAGACGGGGTTTCACCATGTTGGCCAGGATGGTCTCAATCTCTTGACCTCGTGATCTGCCTGCCTCAGCCTCCCAAAGTGCTGGGATTACAGGCATGAGCCAGGCACCCAGCCCTAATTTTTAAAAACATAAATTGTGAATAAAGATTCTCTTTGTGTAGGCATAGCAAACAAAGTATTCCTTTCTGGTTTTGAAACTTTGACGTTCTTTATTCAAGATCACTTCATCTTCATCTTGTTACTTTATCTCCATTTCTAGCAGACTGACATCAGTAACATGTCATAACAAGGGCATAATGTTATATTACATTGTAATCAGTCCTTCCTTCCCAATCTTTTGTGTGCATGTGTAAGACAGGGTCTCACTCTGTCGCCCAGACTGGAGTGCAGTGGTGAGACCAAGGCTCACTGCAGCCTCGACCTCCTGGGCTCAAGCAATCCTCCCACCTCGGCTTCCAGAGTATCCGACCACAGGCAGGCACACCATGCTTAGTTAATTTTTGTATTTTTTGTAGACATGGGGTGTTACTATATCGCCCAGCGCTCAGTCTGCCCTCCTTAGCCTCCCAAAGTGCTGGGATTACAGTTGTGCACCTTGTTTTTATTTCTAGTCCTCAGTGGTATCTGAATGTAATTTAAATATCATTGGTGTAACACAAATGGCAAATGTCTGTGGATAAACATGATCTGAGAAGCACATTAGAGGTGATTGTTTTAATTTTAACATATTTCTGATCTCCAAACGGAATAACAGTAGCTGACGAGAATGCTTTAGAATAAGAAAAATAAACACTTCTGAGGAGGAAAGAATTGTAATTAAGGAAATGTTGGTTATGTTTTAAATTCCGTTAATACAGGATTGGGGGAACTCTATTATGTCAATCCGTGTGGAACCACCAGGTGGCACACTACTGCCTTCTTTCCACCATTCAACCACAGAAAAAGAAAACGCCACTGGGAGGTTTGGCTTTAGTTTATTGGTTGTTGTTTTTTACACAGAAAACGCACCAAAACCAACTTAGCCACATAACGACACGAATGTACAAGTAGTTCTTTCTCAACTTTAATCTTTTTATTACTATCAGTAGAATTTATTTTGCTTTGCTTTTTCTTTAAGGCTTGAGCCGACAAGATGTAAACACATCAACTAACATAAATGCTAATAAAAATAAGCCCATTGATTACTCTTTACAGGAAAGCAGAAACAACTGGGAAATAATTTTACCTTTCAGAATACTTAAGGATTACCAGCATTTAATATTTCATATTTGCAAAGTGTATTGTTATAGATTTATAGATAATTACTCACAAAAACAAATATGATGGCATTCTTTAAAACCCATATGCAATCTAGGTCAAATTCTAAACAATGTACAGATTTCTCTAGCTTGTTCCAACATTTATTCAATGACTTTATTGGCAAAATGACCAGAATCAACCCCATTTTTAAAATACTTTAACGGAATTCTCCATTTATACTGATTTAGATTCAGTAATTGTCATAATGCCTCACAAATAGTCTTTCTGCCTAAAAGTAAATATGTCTTTAACTTCAGTTTACTGAAAAAGGTGCCCTTTTTGTTTACTGGGGTGTATCTAACACATTTTGGATTTACCCCAGTTGACTAAGTCCTGGCAATCAGTAAATTAACTAGCACTTCATACAGAACTTTTAATGTCCATTGATCAAATGAGCTGCACAAACGGGAATTGAGCTTCTTTCAGTGCTAAAATCACGAGGCAGAATGAGGTGAATTCTAGTCCCAGTTTAGCCACCAGCTAGCTGTGTTGCCTCAGGCAAATTATTTAAACTCTTTATACCTTCCTTCTCTCAAGTGAAAAATTAAATAAAGTGGAATCTTTCTAAGTTTCTATTTTACTTTTAAAATGGTATGAATTTATTTTTATATTTGAATCATATTGTGAAGCATAATAAAGCATTTCAAAGTAATTCATCGAAGTAGGAAAAGCTAGGACAAATTCCTAATGCAATGACCAGCCCGAGTGATGGCAGCAGTAGGCAGACGACTTGGGATCTTCTGCATCTCCTCTGACAAGTAAAACCGAGTCTCACCACACGAAGGAAGAGCTCCACACACACTCTTTGCTCTACAATTTCTTCACTTACTCTGGCTGATGGATATTTAGCCACCTCCAAATGAATTCATTGAGCTCTTTCTCTAGCTGTCTTGCAGAGAATCTTCAATGGTATAGATCCGTTTAACAAATTCCAACTCCTGGAACCCACAATGTAAGCTTCTGGAATGACTGATAGCCATAACTTTAGAAATGTATATTGTGCTCATGTAAAATGGTCCTATAAGCACTACATCCCTTTTCTCATAGTGTGAATGAAAACGAGTTATTTTCTTATGTTGGAGTTGCATTATATATCACATACTGAGTTTACAAAAGCAAAAATTTCAGCATCCCTCAAAATTGAGAATGTCTGTACATACACAAGCTAGACACAAAATACAAAATCTATACTAAGTAAACCCACATTTTTTATTTGCAGACCCATGTTTTTATATCCTTTGTTAGAGAATATGTTTCTTCTTTAAACAAACAAGGGCTTCTTTCCCCATTTATATTGTGTATTTCTGATGGTGTTTTCAAAAAGACTTTCACAAGGGAGGGATGGGTCCTTAATTAAGCCTTTAAAATGAGGCCATAAATATATTTTATTGGTTGTAATACCTTTTTCTTTATTAGAGGAATAACAGACTGCTGGTTAACTGGTCATGAAATATTAATTAAAAAGAAAAATATATGATTGAAGTCATCTCAGTGGGTGCTAACTCATGCGTTTACTGGGATTTTTTTCTGCATAAAGTTAAAGGCATATGGACCCAGTCACTTCATCACCCACAGGGAAACACCAGCTGGTCTTAGAGATTTCATACTAGAGGCTCACCTAGTGACAGCAAGCCATGAAGTCTTCTCTGTGCCAACATTTGGGGCCCATATTGCATTTGTACATAAGCAGTCAGAAACCATGCCCAGGACAAAGTGTTCCTAACAGAAGAACTGCCGCTGCCTCCAGGACCAGAAAGACCATCCACACCAGAGTGCGTGAACACAGCACCTCTGCAGGGAACATTCTGTTTTCACCACGCAGCGCAAGACAAGAACTCTTTCTGCCCCAGTCACCAATCTTGGCTAACTAGAGCCTTCCATTAACCTCCAATGAAATGTCCACATTTCTCCCAGATTCTGTTTGTACCCATGCACTTCAGTTGCTCCCCTCAACTGGCTAGAAAATTATTTACATATTAAACTTAAGAGAAAAGGCAGATGTTTTAGAATGGCAGGAGAAAATAATCCTCAAATACTGCCTGTGACATTAAAAATGGAGTTAAGAGAAGTTTCCTTGGACTACTCTAATATACTGATCTCGTATCGCTGGAAAGGAACGTGACAGAGACGGGAAAGTAACTTCATACTCACCTGCGGGGAACAGCAGGGGTGTGTGTTCTGTGGCCACCCTCCGAGGAGGAAGGACTTGTTTCGGGCCTCTGCAGCAATCCACATGGCAACCAGAAATCCCAACCAGCCACTTGCAAGCTTGAACGTGCAGTATTGAATGACCGAAGGCCGTCTTACTAAAATGCAGCTTCCAATTCCACAAGTCTAGAGTGGAGTGAATGATTCTCAGCCCACACTGGGAATAAGGAGGCTCTCTCCTCTCCCTGAAGCTCTGTCCCAGGCTGGCCTTTGTCCAGTAAAGTGAAAGACAAGCAGAAGCTTCGCTGAAGCCTATAGGATTTTTTTTTTTAATGCAAACATTAAGGGCACAGTGGCTCATGCTTTTAATCCCAGCATTTTGGGAAACCAAGATGGGAGGATCACTTGAGGCCAGAAGTTCAAGACCAGCCTGAACAACATAGCAAGACCTGACCGCTACCAAAAAGAAAGAAAGAGAGAAAGAGAGGGGGCGGGGGTCCAGGCTGCAGGGAACTATGATCACACCACTGCACTCCAGCCTGGGCAACAAGGCAAGACCTTGTGAGTAATAAAATAAAATAAAGAAAAATAAATGTAAGCAAATGATTTACTATGGATATATGATTCTTGGTGACTTAAAATTTCTGTCGGTACAATATCATTTACGCAATAAGAAAAAATAAAAAATATTCAACAACAATTTAAACAACTTTTGAAATAATTGATAATTCCAAGGCGTTGTTTCCCATTCAGGAATTTTCTTGACTTTCAAATATGAGCAGGATTGGGTGTTTTATTTTTCCCCTTGATTGGCGGTTTACTTTCTTTTAAAAATTATCCTAACAATAAAAATCGCTTTTTCTCTTTGGGCACATAGGTCTATGAATTTGAATACACAGATTTGTGTAACCACCACCACAACTGGAATATAAAACAGTTCCATTACCTGTCCCCCCAAAATTGATGGGATTCGGGTTCCCAGATTTTTAGTTTTCTCTCTTCTCCCGTTTGTCTAGTTCCTTGCTTTACTTCCACATTTGCAGAAAACGCTTTAAAAAAATAAATTTAAGTATTGTTTTGCAAAGTCATCCAGAAAATCCATATTCTCCTTGAAGTCACAGGAGACACCAGAGGCTGAGACGCGAAGGCTCAGTACTATTGTGGCAAAACCTTGGGGTTAACTGGATCTGGGTTAGGAGTGTACACAGCCTCTTGGTTTGAGCTCCCAGATGGAGAACAAGTTTGCTCAGGTTCAAGAGCGTTGCCCTTGGACCTTCCTGAGGATGGGAAATTCTCTACAATAGTGTCTTTATTGTATTGCCAGAATCAAACCCAGAAGAAAGTCCAGGCTGTCTCAGAGCCAGTAGTGACCTATAAACTCTCAGCCTCAAAGTTGGAGGGCAAAGCACCCAGCTGCCTGGGGATTGCATCAGAGCCCCAATATGGGTCACTGGCAGAGGGCAGAAATGAGTCACGTAATTTCCACTGTTTCAGCTTCTAAGGCAATGGAAACTGTTGAATCTATACCGCCAAAAAGTTTCAAATCACAGAATAGCTCTCAGATTCTTCAATTATTGATATTAATAACTATAGGCAAAAGAATAAGCCTTCAGGAGATGACAGAATTGCCTTAATTTGGGGGCTATTTCCAACCCCTGTATACTTTTAACTCCATTCATGCTGAATAGCTAAAGGTCTTGTAATACGGCCTTTGATTTACGGAAGGGAAAAGAAGATGGTATTACTGAAAAGACCCATTACTCCTGTGCCTCGTCATGTAGTTCAATGTTAAGTACTGTACAAAACTGAATCCTTGGTGGAATGCAATTCTGTAATTCAATCGAGAGATCTTGCTAATGTCCCAGTCTGCAAGAACATAGCTTAAGGGTTTAGGTTTAGAAGGAAACCTTGCAAACCAGAGATGGAATTACAGCCTCCCTCTTCAATCAAGGGATGAGTGAGGGTTGTTGGCAGTGCACTATTAAACAATTATTAAGATTCTGTAAAGAAAGTGAAAGAATTATAAAGTTATGTTTGTCTCTATGGGAAGGTAAAAGGAGGAAGAAAAGACAAAACACCAGATGGGCAAAATGTTGATTGCCGTTGAAGCTGGATGTTTAGAAAGTGGGGACTGAGTATACCATTTTCTCTACTTTCCTATGTGTTTTTAAATATCCATAAGAAAACGTTTAAAAAAAAAAAAAAGATCCCACCAAAAGTACTATGATAGGAAAATAATGCTTCTGAAAACTCATGGAATTTGTAGGTGTTTCTCAGTTGTGTATTAAATGTTAATATAAATAAATATTATGTGATAACTTTTGCAAGATTATAGGGCCATGAATCGGTATAAATGAAAACTTACTGTCAATGCTGGGGTCAGGTATCTTCTACATGGGCTAAGTAGCGTTTCCTATGGAATGAAGCCTGTGCAGTTGTGTCATTATATATTATTCAGACACACACTTGCACACAATATTAGATACAGTCATGCACATCACGTTTCCATCAACAATGGACTGCGCATCTAACGGGTCCTTGAGAGATTATAATACACACTCTTACTGCAGCTTTTCTATGTTTAGACATGCAAATGTGTGCCACTGTGTTCCAGTTGCCTACAGAATTCAGTACTGTAACATGCTGTATAGGTTTGCAGTCTAGGAACAACAAGCGATACCATACAGCCTGGGTAGAGCACAGGCTGGACCACCTAGGTTTGTGTAAGAACACTCTGTGATGTTCGTAGGACCATGAAATCACCTAACAATGCATTTTTCGAGACATAGCCCCGTCATTAAGAAATACACGACTGTGCTCATATTCAGACTTCCAAACAAAGAAATTAGAATGCTGGAGACAGGCTATTTGCATCACAAAAGGGCCATTGCCATATTCCTTTAAACACCAATGCATATCAGTAATACGGCTCAAGAATTTCTACTTATCTAACAATCTGTTTTTTAGCTCTAGCTACAATATACTCTTCTGTGGAGCATTTGAAAAATACTTACTCCCAGGCCCTATTGCAAACTAGTGAATCAAACTGTCCAGATGATATTAAAATGCATTGAAGGCCAGGAGGCTACTGCTCTCAAAACAGAGCTAAAACTCAGTGAGGAGTGTTCTTCCGAACTTGTCAGGATAACGCATCGAGATACCACATTGTTTGGATATCCTCAAACATCCATGCTAAGTGGGATGTTGTCTGCTGTGGGGAAATTAAATTAGAATGAAAGTCACAGCGTTCTTAATGTTAAATAGAATTATCTATGTGAAACTGGAAGAAAGAAAACCCTGATTTCTTCCCCAAACCTTTGACTGATGGACCCTAGGCCAGACCTAGGGTCTAGGTAAATGTAAAATTTGAATTTTACATTTCAAATGTAAAATACATTTAATTTCTGGCCCAGCACAGTGGCTCACCCCTGTAATCCTAGCACTTTAGGAGACCCAGGTGGGCTCATCACTTGAGTCCAGAAGTTCAAGACCAGCCTGGGCAACACAGGGAAACCCCATCTCAACTAAACATACAAAAAATTAGCCAGGAACAGTGGAATGCAACTGTGGTCCCAGGTACTTGGGAGGCTGAGGTAGGAGGATTGCTTAAGTCCAGAAGTTCAAGGCTGTAGTGAGCCATGACCGTGCCCTTGCACTCCAGCCTGGGCAATGGGAATGAGACCCTGTCTCAAAAAATCAATAAATAAGCTTTTAAAAATGGAAAAGTAAAAACATTTAATATCTTTAAAGGCATAATTAAACCAATAATTAGATTATTATTTGAATAAAGTAAATTTTGGTTGCTACAAGTCATAAAATCGCCATAATCATCGTCACTCTGCAAACATCTCTTATCTCCACCTCATCTGTGCTCCTTTTGGGAATCCTTAAAATGTATGTGATGAGGCAGCTGGGTTAAACCTACAGTTCCCTTAGGGGAGGGACAGTTTTCACCAACACCATGGCAAAGCCCTTACCCTGAGCTCTCTTCTCTCTCCTGCCAAACAATCATTTTTAACAGTGTGGCACAAGTTAAAGCCAGACTTGTATCCTTATTGGAATTCTGTTACCGCTACAGTTAGGCATTGGGTGTAGATAGGACCCCCCATGGAGGCCCAGGAAGCTCCAAGAGCACAGCCACCTCCCAAGAAGCCCAGCCCCCAACCATCGCCATTCTGCCTTCTCACAGCTTTTCAACTTTCCAACCCTTTTGACGTTTATGGTTTGTGTTCATGTTTCGGTTTTAACTTTTAATATGTTTTTACTTCCTGATAGAATCGAAATGCAGACTCCCAGGGCTTGAAAGTCTGAATTATTCTCTCACCTATAGGCCATGCCATAAATCCTGAACTCAACCATCAACATGAGAACCAATCATGCAAAATTTCCTTTCTTCTCTACCTAAGATTGAGTCTAACACACCATATGTTAGTCCTAATGGGACTAAAAATCCAACATCAAAATGGCTTTCTCTGAATCTTACCTGGCATCACCCAATTTTTCTCTTTTAAAAGAAATTACTTTGTGGTCAGACCATATCATTCCTAAATCAGCTGCTAGGTAAGAAGGATAAGAGTAACTAGGCTGGGCACAATGGCTCACACCTGTAATCCCAGCACTTTGGGAAGCTGAGGTGGGTGAATAACCTGAGTTTAGGAGTTCGAGATCAGCCTGGCCAATACAGTGAAACCCTGTCTCTACTAAAAATACACAACTTAGCCAGGTGTGGTGGTGCCTGCCTATAATCCCAGCTACTCAGGAGGCTGAGGCAGGAGAGTCGCTTGAACCCGGGAGGCAGAGGTTGCAGTGAGCAGAGATCACGCCATTGCACTCTGGCCTGGGCAACAAGAGCGAAACTCTGTCTCAACAAAAAAAAAAAAAAGAAGAAGAAGAAGTATCAGAGTAACTAAAAAAGTACCTAAGTACCTAGAACTTAAGCTCCTAGGCTTGGATATAAGACAGGCTTGGAATCTGGTTAACTCTGACATGTGGCCAGGTTATCAACCTCTGTGAAATGAAGGAGGTACACCTGCAATCTCTAAAAAGTGGATTGATGGGAGAATCAAGAGATCAACACCCAGTACACTCTCATTAATATGCGTCATTAGACACCATCAGAGAGGTACAGAAATGTGGCCAGAAGGTTGTCTTCCCAAACTGATGGCAGCTGAGAGATGGGAGACGAGTCTGAATTGAGATGTGTGAAATATGACTTTCCAATCTTACTCACCTGTACTCGTGTATTATTTGAGCTGCTTATAATACTGCAGTGAAAATATATTATTGAGTCCTTTTTAAAGAACAGTTTGCCCTCCCCTCTTTATCAGATACTAAACGTATCCACTTATTAACAATGCTGCCAAGAAAATGAAGTAAGCAGGGGATACGTGTGGTGACATTTTGTGGGTTGGGTGATGGTGGATCAGCAATGGCTTGAGGACTCTAGTAAAACACCAGTAGGAGGGAAACAAAGACACAGCAAGAAGGCCAAGGAGAGCAGATCACTGAAGTCAGGAGTTTGAGACTAGCCAGCATGGCAAAACCCCATCTCTACTAAAAATACAAAAAATTAGCCAGGCATGGTGGCAGGCACCTGTAATCCCAGCTACTCGGGAGGCTGAGGCAGGAGAATCACTTGAACCCAGGAGGCGGAGGTTGCATTGAGCCAAGATTGAGCCACTATACACCAGCTTGGGTGACAGAGCGAGACTCTGCCTAAAACAAAAATGAAAAGAAAAAGGTCTGGACCAGACTACCCCAATAACACTGGAAATGGGCTCAGTGGGTAACTGGACAACTGGACATTTTCAACCACACCTTCCCCATCACAGTGATGTGCCTCATACCATGAGATTCCTTGGAAGAGAGTTAGGAAAAGCTCTAGGTGAAGTTTCTTGGTCCTTGAAATTCTTTTCCATGGAATCTCATGCCCTACAGCTTTATGCTGATGAGATTTGCGTAGCTTGATGGGTTTGTTTGTCTAATCACAGGATAGTCTTTTCTGTCTTTTGCTCTTTCCCAGCATCAATTCTTAGGGGAAGGAGGTCAGGGAGCAGGTTCATAAATACATATCTCTTGCTTCCTATGCTGGCGTCTGTTCTTAAGCCAACAGTGTCATCTGTCGCACAATATCAGAAGGGGAGATAAGTCCTCCTGGCTTTGGCCTCACCTGATTTCAGCTGCAAGCAAATAAGAGACCACTATCAGCTCACCTCTATCCTACTAACGCTTCTGAGGATCCATCTCTTCTCAGAATGGGAATGCCTGCAGTACCAAACTGATAATGCGTGGGTGGTACGATCGCAGCCAAAGGCAAAAAGTCATTGCTGAAATACTTCAGGATACAGTGATATATTTCATCTTTACTAATATACTTTGTTCGAGCCTCTCATATAGATAAGATATGAATTATTATCCGTATTTTACATGTGATCCAACTGAGGTTCAGAGAGATGCTGGCTTACTCACTCTCATGCTGCCTGTCGGAGCACAGACAGACCGGCATTTTCTTATTCCTAACCTAGTGCCCATCGCACTGGATCACAGCTGCCCATTCACTGTTCAGCACATGCAGGCACTAAGCAAAGCACAGCACTGGACACTGCAGAGAAAACAGGAACAAAAGGTCTCTGTCCTGCCACAGCTCAAAAGCCACCAGAGAGAAGACTTTCATGGGATTAAAAAACCTGATACCAGTCATAAACATTAGAAAATAGATACTAAAAATCAGTACGGGCCAATAAAAGCTGTGGGACCTGAGGATTCGGACTGAGTAAAAGGGAAGATTCTTTTTCAGCAAATAGTTCTTCCACAATATTTATCGAGCACCTACCACATGTCAGGAACTTTTTTCCAAGTGGAAGACCTTGTACTTTTCTTTTCCTGCCTCGCACAGCATTTAGAGAATCTGGGTGGGAAAGAGATGAAAGAATACACCTTGATGACGTTTCGGGGTCCTGGAAGTGCCTAGTTGATGGGGCCTTCCTTCCATGAATGGTGGAAGACTCTGGGCTGAGACCCAGGACATCATACTCAATTACACAAGTGCACATGGCCAGCTCATGTCCATCCCCCATTGAACAACCCATAACTTGACTATTCATGGGACTAATGTACCCTGAAATGTGTAGTGTCTCCAGGAATCAAAGCGGCCATGCTGACCCGTTCTGCTTGGTAGCCAGGTAGACCTGTCAGGCTCTGTAGCCATATTCTTCTGCTTTTCATCTTTTCAAGTCTCTGTGGGAAAAGAAATCTCAGCACAACTCCTTCCGGCTCATCAGTCTTCCCAGTTCACCCATCCACATCCACATCCTTTACTTTTCTGTTTTCCTGGGGCAGTTTCTGCTACATCTGAATCAGAGCCTGCTCCCAACCAGCATACCTGAACAGGTGATCCCAAAAAGGATTTAAGGTGTTATTTTCTTCTGAGGAATTGCGTTTATTTTTTTTAAAAAAACATGTTTTATTTGTTGCTAATTTGAGCAACAATTTTTGCCACAAAGACGCATGCTTAACGCTGGGCCCTGAGCAGACCCTAAGTGGTTCTAAATCTAACTCAATTAAGCAATATCACATTTAACTAATTAATTAAGCCAAGGCTGTGTGCTTACTGTATGCCAGAAATTGCATATAGAAAAATAATTGATCTCCGCCAGGCGCGGTGGCTCATGCCTATAATCCCAGCACTTTGGGAGGCTGAGGCAGGCAGATCGCCTGAGGTTGGGAGTTCGAGACTAGCCTGGCCAACATGGTGAAACCCCATCTCTACTAAAAACACAAAAATTAGCTGGGCATGGTGGCAGGCACCTGTCATCCCAGCTACTTGAGAGGCTGAGGCAGGAGAATCGTTTGAACCTGGGAGGCAGAGATTGGAGTTAGCCGAGATCCCGCCATTGCACTCCATGCTGGGAGACAGGGTGGGACTCTGTCTCAAAAAAAAAAAAAAAAAAAAAAAAACAGAAAATAAAAGAAAAAGAATTGATCTCATTTATTACATGATCATTTTTCAAGGAAGTTATTATTAGATCTATTCAAATTGAATAGATAGCTGAGACTAAAAGAGGTTAAGACATTTGCCTCAGTCTCATACCTTTGTTCTGTAGACACTTTCCACCACCTCCACGTAGACCCTCCGTTCTGTCAGGCTGGTCTCCTCATGAGGCCACCCCTTTCACACTGCCCTTGACCTCTGAGTCCTATGGCCCATCAACTCAGGATGACCTCACAAATGCTTGGAGTGTCCTCACAAATGCCCATTCACACCCCACTTACCCTTTGTGGTCAAGAAAGTTTCCAAATCCTATTGAACTTTTCTTGACCACTCTAGTCCTCAAAGTTTTCCCTCTCTTCTTCTTAAAAAGACTGTATGTGGGAACTTTGGTGATTAGTTCCATATTCTATATTTTGTACCATCCATAGTGTTGTACACATAGTAGATGATCAATAAACACTTAACCAAGCGACTGATTGACTTTCTAAACCTGTCTCCTGTACTGTTGCAGAGCTTAGAAAGATTAAAGGAGGTCTTATACATGTTTAGTTTTTAATAAAGTTATTTTTATATTCTTCTGATGGAAGGTAGGAAAGTAATCGATCTCCTTTTTTGCAAACTACCTTTTGTCACACTTTTGTAAAAAGTCTCAATTCTAGATTATACTCTTTTTAACCCCGTCAGCAAAAATTTAACCATTTTCATTTCTTGGACCAGATGCAAAATGTGAACTTAGTGACTTCAATTAATTATATAGAGTTCTTACTAACCAAATCAGGGATTCTCTGTCCAACAGCAAAAAGCTGATGAAAGTCTTAAAATCCACCAACAGCTCTGCAACTTCTTACACTGCCCCATTCGTAGGTGTATCTCAGCTACAATTAGAACTGAGTTGCCTTTGTTCCCCTAGAAATTATCAGCTGACACCCATCAGATCCGTTGGTGTTCACACAGGGTGAGGTCTACCAGGGCCTGAAAGATTTCTGCACGTCACTCTGTGCAGCTAACGACACATGATTTTAAAGTTCTTAACCCACCTCTCCTCCCTGCCCCCCAGAACTAATCTATATGCTAATTTCCACTGGATAATGCTGCCCCACAATATGGTAATTGCTGTAATGTTTTCCAGGGAGGAAAAAAAAAAGGAAGAAATTGAGCCGCAGCTTCAGCGCTGACGCCTGTGCAGTCACGAGACGCTCTGTGCAGACTGGTATCAAGCCGGAGCCCACGTCCAACAATTTGCCACACTGAGGTCAGAATGAAATCATTCTGGAAGAACTGGAAATGCTTTCCTAGGCCACACTGTTTTAAATGCTCATCGGAAGCGTGATGAGTGTAGAGGCAGCGAGCTGTAGCCTGCTGAGTCAAACCTGGCCGCGTTCCCTCACCTGCACCCGAGGTCCTCTAGGTCTGCAGAAAATCTCAAACCACTGATTTGACAGTGCAACCTTTAAAGCATGGCCAAGTCTTCCAGGGCTTCTGGCTTCTCAACATCACCTTCATGTGCACAAGGGTTCTTTCCTTCTTGTCTATTTCCCTACATATACTCTCAATGCTATTAAGATATCAAATGCAAGAATGACAACAAGAGAGTCCTAATTAAACAGCAGCAGCATGTGCCCTCGAAGGAACAGCCTGAACCCAAATAAGTGGAGCTTGGGACCGGAAAGGGGGAAAAGACAATGGGGGCTTTGAAATCAGCTGGGTTTAAAGCAACGGGTTTGTTGTGTGTATTTAAAGGGCCAGATGACACAAAGGGCTCCCCATGCTGTCAGGACCGAGACCAAGCTCTGGATTCACCAAGACAGACTGGTGATAGTCACTGAGTCCTGTGACCAGAATCCAATTGTAATTGGCCTTAGAGATCACTTATGGCAATCAGGGAAGTAATAGGCTTCTGAATAATTATGAATAATTAGGCACATTTATGAATAATTACACTGATAATAACTATCTAACTCACTCCATTTTAAAATTGTAATTCAGTCATTATGGATTGGGTACTCATTCCCTTCATCCTGCCTCTGCATATTCATGGCCTAATCCATCTGCCAATCTTACAATGACTGGAGTCCCTCTCCAGGTCAGCACTGGGCTCACCCTAGGGACAAAGGACCATCCTGGTCCCCAGGGTTGGAGTTTCATATCTCTTTGATTGATTTGGGAGGACTCTGGACAGTAGAGAGGGGCAGAAAGGATATGAGGAAATATTTTCCTGAAACACTGGAGCTTAGCCATCTTGTGACTCACTTATCAATATGCAAATGACTTCAAAGTAATGTCCAGGAGCTCTTTGCTGTTTTCAATACCGATGATAAAAAGAAGCCGTTGCTTGCACATGTCATTGTAGAGAATACCAGTGCATTAGCCAAGGGCAGTCATTTTATAGCATCTTCTTTCAAGTACTAGGCTGCTTAGAAAATCAGAAGTCCTGGCTGGGCACGGTGGCTCACACATCCCAGCACTTTGGGAGGCCAAAGTGGGCAGATTGCCTGAGCCCAGTAGTTAGAGACAAATCTGGGCAACATAGAAAGACCCTGTTTCTACCAAAAACAATACATAACAAAAATTAGCCAGGCTTGGTGACACGCACCTGCAGGCCCAGCTACTTGGGAGGCTGAGGTGAGAGGGTCACTTGAGCCCAGGAGATTGAGACTGCAGTGAGCCAAGATTGCACCTCTGCACAGTCCAGCCTGGGCAACAGAGCAAGACTCTGTCTCAAAAAAAAGAATGAAAGAAAGAAGAAAATCAGAAGCCCCAATTTGAAGATGGAATCAATCTTAAAGCAATGTGTCCTCAGGCTTTAAACATAACATGTCCTCACACTCTGGCCGTACTCTTTCCTCCCCCATATCCTCTCTCCTTTTCTTTTGTTTGTTTCTCCCCCTTTTCTTTCCCTCCCTCCCCACCATTCTTTGCCTATTTCTCTATCACTTTCATGTCGCTTCCTGTTCTATTCCAACAATGACAATCAAAAGTTAGCTTACATTTTTCCGATTCCAAACATAGTATCTGTGAACTATAAAAAAATTAAAAATATCAGGACAAGAAATTTTTTTAAAAAAATTAAAAATAATCTCAGCATCTGAAACACTATTAACTTAATACAGTATTTTGAAGTGTTCTTTTTCTAAACACACTTTACACAACTGAGATATTATAAAAACAATTTTGCATCCTGACATTTCCCTGAACATTATAAAATGAGCATTTTCCTTATTATTAAAAACTCATGTTTGATGGTAAAATTATAAAATATGAAATTATACGTGATCATCAATTCCCTAAACTTTGGCAACTCCATATTACCCACGTTTGCCATTTTGCCATGCTATTTTGTGGGCAGTGTTCTTTGTTCTTATACTCACCACATTATTTCCTGTTCCTTTCTCTTCCTCTGAAGTTAAGACTTGGGTGTAAGGAGGTATGCTGCCCTGAATTAAGACAGGGGAATAACATGATTGCTTTAGTGCACAGGAAGGCTTACCACATACAGTCTTTTCAGGTACAAGCAATATTAATACCTTGCAGTTTAACTATAAACAAAATCTTTTATGCAGAATTAACCATAACAGAATTCCATCTTGGACCCAACCCAAGGGGGCTCAGTAACTGAAATACATTATGATGCATCCTTTCCTGAGGCTTGATTACAGGAAAATTGAGACATAAATGGCATCCTATTGAGCTTCTTGGAATACTAGTTTCCAAATAATTACTAATGGATGCCATGCATGAGAATTGCCCAGGGAGCGTTTTATAAATTTGTCTTCCTGGACTCCACCAAGTAATATTTTGATTTAGGAGATCAGGAGGGGGGATCAGGCTGGGCAGGGAAGAAGGCAGCAGATATGCCGTCCCGCATCTGCCATGCCAAGAATCCTGAGTGTAATTTACCGAGGAGCAATGTGGTCTACGAGAGATGAGTGGACAAAGGAGACGATGACCCCCGGGAAAGTGATCGGCAGAAACTGGGTCATCATGAGAAAGGGGCACCATGCAGTGTGAAGACAGGGCTGGAAGTATGTGGATCAGTGAGGAAATTGTGGAAACCCAGAAATCTAGTTTACAAATGATGAGCATGTGAAATGAGGCAGTACCGTAGGGGAATGGAGAAGCACATTGATACGAAAGCTGTAGATGGCACAGTTAATAAACTCATGTGAATGTTGGATGTGAGCACTAAAAGTCAAAATTAGGATGACCCCCAGTTACCTGACCAGAATAAAATCCAGGAGAGCAGCAGTTGGATCTGGTGTGGGATGGTGGGAGGGGGAAGGATGATGTGTGATGGAAGGCCATGATGAATTCACTTGGAAACAATGATTTATCCAGAAGAGGAAAAATGCTTTCTTAAAAAATCCCTTTCTGAAATTGTCATTTGGAGTTTTAAATTACGAAAATAAAAGTTTTGCTACTTACGGTAGCTCATGTCTGTAATCCCAGCATGTTATGAGTGAGTCCAGGAGTTCAAGACCAGCTTGGGCAACATAGCAAGACCCCATCTCTACAAAGTAAAAGAGTAGAGCTGCTGTGGTGACGTGCACCTGTAGTCCCAGCTGCTTGGGAGGCTGAGGTGGGAGGATCACTTGAGCACAAGAGGTGGAGGTTGCAGTGAGCTGAGATGGCGCCACTGTACTCCAGCCTGGGTGACAGAGGGAGACCCTGTCTCAAGAAAAAAAAGGAAAGAAACGTTTGCTTTATTCCCCTCATATGGGTATTTCTATATGACGCAGTGCAATAGCACCCCAGATAAAGTGAAGCCTTCTTAGGCTGTTGGATTTTTATAGGAAGCACGATAGAGTGAGTCTCTCATAGCACAGATGCTTTCTCTCACCTGTTCACTTTATGCTCAGGAGTGGGGGCGGGGATCAAATAATTTCTGTGTGATTTGTTTCCCCAGGTAAGCAGAGGACAGTAAAAGCCACACATCTAATCCAACTGGGTGCTGCTTGTAGGTCTTTGCAAGTTCTCTCTCCTGGCATGTTCAGACATCTGAAGTTCCTGGCATTTGGCAGCTCTAACTAGATCTGATGTCACAAGCTCCACGTCCCAGCAGGATTTCCTGCAGACTTTGAGGAGACTTGATATCCAGGGGAAGAATTTACCACCAAATCCCAGAAATAAAGCCCAAGGGCTCCTCCTTGGGACATATTAATCCAAGAGTTAGAAGAATCAAACATTTCACTTAGAGAATATGGACAGA